GGTGTAAATGCCCATGCAGTTCAGTACCCCTGTCCACTATCGAGTGGCATGACATCGCCATAGTCCCCTGGCTTGTGGCCTGTTCCAAGTCGAATGTGACATCATCGCACAGGAGAAGCGGAACGACTGATGGATAGATGTTCCATCCAGTTCTGACGCTATGCCCCGCTTGAAGTGTCACTTCAGTTCTGTGTGTTACTCACCTAACTCCAAGTCAGAGATGTCTCCTAGGCTGTCTATCAGGAGCTGTATCTCTGGGCTTTCCAAGAGGATCTCCCGCAGGCTGCTGAGCGCGGTGCGAACTTCCTGCAGCAGCTCGGAGCCAGAGGCGCAGCATGAGCTGCCCTTCAGTGTCTTGTCCACGAAGGCCTTCACGCTCTCGGCAAAGGCGCCGCTCTTCCTCTCGCTCAGTTCCTGCGCCTTGTAGTTGAGCCTCTTCTGCGGCGACATCAGCCCACCGATGGCCTGCCCCACGGCCGAGAGGCGGTTCTTCACCTTGTCGGCCAGGACCAAAGTGAAGCGCTGGCTGTGTACGTGGATGGGGCTGGGGGCGGAGTCAGACTCCTCCTCCAGGCTGCTGATGGAGAGGGAGTCCAGCTCATGGCTGGGAGCCTGGAGCAGCGAGGTGAGCGGAGGCGGAGACAGCCATATGCCGTCTTCGATCCAAGACACGCGGTGAGGGGACTGGGGGACAGGACTGCCCACAGGTGTGGTCTCGCTGGAGGTCTCACCATCCACAGAGAGCCTGTTCTGTCCTCTTCCCTTCAAGGAGCCAGAGCTACTGGACTGACTTGCCCTTCTGAGAACCACGGGGGTAGAGGGAGAGGAGTTGGGACGAGTCCTGGGGGGAACTGAGGGAAACAGAAAGATAATGAAGGCCGACATACAAAAATGTCCAAACAGTGCTCTTCTTCGGGGTATTTAACTATAAAATGGATGGGGGCCGGGGGGCTAAATTAACCTAGAGGTCATTTGTTATCTTCTTTCCCACTTCAGAGGCTGATTAGATGGAGGAGGGGCTGCCTTTGACAGACTCCATCCATCCATCCATCCATCCTTCCTTCCTTCCATCCATCCATCCATTTTCTGTACCCGCTTGTCCTATGAAGGATAGCGGGGGTCTGGAGCCTATTCTAGAAGCTCCGGGCGTAAGGCAGGGAACGAGGCACCAACCCATTCCAGACAGACAGCACATGTTCATGTAATTCACATAAAATCAGTTTTACATATTTGCAAATGGGGAAGGATTTTGAATGGACTGGAGTAAGTGACAAACGTCCCTTAAATTACCTGAGCATGCAGCTGGTGAGGTGCTGGACTCGTGGTCCAATGACGGGCCCCTCATGTCACGTAGCCCTGCTCCCTTCCACGGCCTAGTCGTGCTCAGCCGTCTCTCCCGCCTTGCTGCGAATGGCCGACTCACGGAAGAGGGGCTGCTTTGGGGAGAGCGCTTTTCAATAAGCCAGCTGTCCCCGTGCTCGTGCAGGTACAGGGGGTTGATGACGCAGAGTGCCCCGTTCGCAGAGGTCACCTGACCAACCACAAAATCATAGGGTCATGAGATGGCACCTTGGCATTAAAATAAATAAATAAATAAATAACACATATATGAAAAAAGATCAGTGCTTTTAATAGTACTGTTACCTGTATGGAACACATGCTGAGGCCAGTGGATGGCGGGGTCACATTCCTCTGTTGTGGGTTCGAGGACAAGCAGAGCCAAAACTCTGGAAGGAGAATTAAGGTGCACGTTTCAGATTAGAAAATGATTTGCTTTTCATCTCTCAACTGAACTTATTCCATCCATCTTTATGAACAAGGATGGGTAGTTTAGGTCCAGGAAGCAAAAATCCAGACCAAGATTTTGTTTCACCCAATCAGTTGAGTACTCCGTGATTGTATCTTTATAGTGAAATGGGTGGTTGAAACAAAATCTTGGTCTGGATTTTTACTTCCTGGACCTGAACTGGAATTGTATCTTTATAGTGAAATGGATGGTTGAAACAAAATCTTGGTCTGGATTTTTACTTCCTGGACCTGAACTACCCACCTCTGTTTATGAAACTGTGGACCATCATCAATTTTTTATTTCGAACCATCCTATGGCTTAATTTATCCAGTTATTAGTAATATTTATATCAATCATATCTCCCCAAAAAACACCATGGCAATATATTATTTTCAGAACATATAGCATGTTTAAACCTACATGTATTATTATTTTTTGTAATATTCAAAATGCATTACTTAATAAACAATCAGAAAGCATCAGGCTGGAGGAGAGACTCACTCGGCCCTAGATGGGACAGATCTTGGTCTGTCTCCTGTGTGAGGTTGAAGACACGCTGTGGGATGAACAAGCAGACTGGCAGCACATCTCTGAAAAAATGAGTGGGGGGTGTGGCAGGGGATGGAGACTCACACCGTTAACAAATTGCAATTAACCATAGCACCGGTGCCACAAATTAGGCGGCGAGATCACTGACTGGGCTGCCAAGTATGAGACACCAACAGCGTATGTGGAGCTGAGATTGAGAAGCAATGGCAGAATGTGCCAGATTAACGGCCCTCTCACCTGCTCAGGCTGTAATAGGCCACCAGCTGGACCAGGTCTGAAAACCCTAGGTGGGACTCCAGAAGGTGAAAAACTACAAAAAAAAATGACAATCATGCTTATTTCCATTTCTCTGTGTATCTGTGTGCATGCCTTAAGGCTGATATATACTTCTGCATAGAATCTACGCCATTGGTATCTGCATATCCGCATATGCTATGCCGATAGTTACATTTCTGGGGAGGTGTGCATCAGGCTGTGTCATAGGTTATGTTCACGGGAGTTATACTTGCACAAAAAAATGTTCTGAGGGCAGAAGGAAAAATTATTGATTCAAAGAGATAACCAATCAGATTGCAGAGAAGGTGGGTCCAAGCAACTAGGAAGCAGGAGCAAGATATCTAATTGGTTGGTCCCACCTCCTCTACGACCTGATTGGTTCAGAGAAATAACCAGTTATTTTTCTTTCTGCACTGAGAACATGTTTGTGTAAGTGAAACTCCCATGAGCAGAGATTACACCATACCTATGCAGCATCAACAGCGTGGATTCTATGCAGAGTACAAATCAGTCATAAGAGGCACAATTATACATCAGGTGGAAGTTTGTACCTGCACCAGAGCGTTGGATTGGGAAGTCCTTCACATGCTCCCTGTTGCCCCCTACAGACAGGCACAGCAGCTGCGGCTGAGATGTCGAATCTAGCAGCACCAGGAAACTCTGTTCAAGAGGTAGAGAAGAAAAAGTTCCGGGCATTACATTTCACGACCTTAGGTCAAAAAAAAGTGGTTCGCTGACAGAATTGTGGAAAAGACATGGGCAGATTTACTCCGAAGCAGCTGAGTCATTTGGGAAGCTTTTCTGCAGAAGTATGGCCGTGTTCACATGGCATGAACTATCATACAAGCTGACATGGCATGAATTCATACTCCTTCAGAGGCCCATGCACACAGAAAGGCTGCAGGAAGTCTGAGTGTCGGTAACATTCAGACTAAATTAGATACCGCAAGCATGTGTGTCACAAAGAAAAAAATACGAGATTTAGTCAGTCATGAACAACTGCTCAAGCCATTTCTCCTAAATGAAAAAAAGGTAAAAGAAAAAATATATAATGGCACATGTATGGAAGGTCTTTTTCTTCAGAATTTATTGCAATTACTATTCTTCAAGTCAAGAACCTTTGCATCACAGATGCAAAGTAATTCCACCCTCAAAGGTCTGTCCCCAGACCTTGGAATTTCCCAGCCCGAATATATGTGATTATTCTGCCTTTTAGGGTGAGACTATCAGTGGCTGGACTCCATCCTCTAGATGTTTAAAGCAAATAGCTGAGCAAAAAGTGAGTGGAAACGCAGTGTAACCTGGCAGCCCTGAGAACTGAAGTTTCCGCCCCTGACTGCACAACACAAACCACCTACATGCCAAATTTCCATGCTTTTCTCGAATGTTTTTCGATTAATGCATATAAATGTACTTTCTTTTTGAAACAAGTGTACTGAAATGTATCATTAATTATTATAGCTGAGGCTTTCCAGTCACCACGAGGGAAGAGTAGCTGGATGGCAGAGAGTAAGATCTAGTCTTTAAATGGGTAACAGGTTAGAAAAACGGCTGGAGAAATCTCATCTTTCATTATTTATTCCTTTCAGTGATACATTTCGTTACTGAAAATGAAAAAAATGCGTGGTAACAAAAAGCAAGAATGCTACTTATGTGTTTCCTTCACCTAAACCACTTGCTTTAAATTCATCCTTTAAACTTGTAAAGTTATTTGCATATACATCATTTTCATTCTTATATTTCTCACGCAGACAGAAGTTTTCTTACTTTTCTAAGTTTAATGTAATCGAATGTAATTATTGTTTTTTTCTGTAATCTAGTATTTCTTATGCTCACACTTGAATCTAAGCATTTTACTTAAAGGTACCTTGATTTATGCCATTTTAAGGATTGAAGTCCTTCCCTTTCTTAGTTATTTGAGTTATCTGAGGTGTCTGGTTTGTCCATCACCTACAAAGTTACATATCAGTTCCTGTTGCTCGTCTAACAATCTTCCTCCCTACAATTAGATCTTCCTTATCTTTAGTCACTTCTGCAATAGGCGGTGAAATGGCACATTGTCTGTCAAAATGCAAAGAGGAAAAGGAACTAATCGAATAAGTAACCAAACTATTTTGAGTCAGAGCCAAGGCACGTAAAGCGTTCCCAATACGGTATTGGCCGCAGTTCAACCCGTCTGCTGAGTCTATGCATGAAAAAATACCCCCGTCCCCTTCTTCTTCAGTGTCTCCCCAGCACAATGTCAATACAGAAATCTTATATTTCGATTATCCAACTGAAGTCCATTTCGTTATAAGCAGATATCTCCATAGACAGGAAAGCTTTTTCAATGACTCACCTTTACAGAGAAGTTGAAGGACATTACTATAGAGCGGGGGTGGGGAACCCGTTCCATGGAGAGCCGGTGCGGGTTTTTGGGATGACCGCTCAATCAGCCAATCACAGTGGGTCCCCTAGGACTGGAGTTGAGAACCACTGTTTTATTATTGGCTGATTGAGAGGTCATCCCAAAAACCTGCACCGACTCTCCATGGAACAGGTTCCCCATCTCTGCTATAGCCTTTGGTAACCTCAGGCACATTTTCAAGATGCAAAAGCAGTTGTGTATCATTAGAAGTCAACTAGGGAGAAAATCTGAGAATGGATTTAATCGGGCACCAAGGCCACAACTGGGAGATACTAATTCTCCGCTGACAGAGGGCCAAACAAGCAGGTAAAACTGAGGGAATATGGAAGTGATATGAAGCGAATCTACCACAGAGGTTCCCCCCTCCTGCCTCATCAGGTTGGGACACTGTCTGTAATCAAAAGATCGCCGGTACCCGTTGTAGGTTTGACAGAGTGACATTTGTTGAGCCAAATTACACATCCATCCTGCCACGTAGCATGTTCTAAGCCAGGCAGGTTGAAAATAAATCAGATGGAGCATTGTAAGGATTTAACCTCATTCAATACTAAGAAATCTATGAAATGATGTTATCTGAATCAGCTGACCCCAGGCTGCTGTCCCCACAGTGCAGTATGAATGCTGTCTCTGTCCCAGGGGCCCCCGAGGGCCCAAGCGGACTGGCAGAGCCGCAGCCTGTCCAGTAGCGTGAGGGGCTTCTGCGCGACCTCTGTGCCATTTGGCATCTCAGTGGGGGACCTGCAAATAAAGGAAAGTGATAAAATGCCTTGGCAGCTCTATCCAGACTTTGAACAACCTTTAGTGAATTCACAATATATATTTGTTAAAAGGGAAAAAAAAAATGAATGCACATATGTCTACACTTTTTCTCGATATGGAATAAATAATTCGAAATATGAAAAGGACAACGCTATCAGTCACCTGTCAGAGCTGGCTGTGTCGCTCTTGTTGTCCTCCAATCCCCTCATCAGCCCTGGTTTTCAGGGGTAACAGTGTCAAGCAAGGAATCCAATTGGGTCCCTGAAACTGATAATGCTTCCCCACTGGGTGTGTTAACTGTCAATCTGCAAAGGCAGCAGCGAAAGAAACCTAGGAGTCAAGACAAGATGCAAAGAGTGCGAAGTTGTTATATTATCACCACTTCCTCTCTATCTCCACCCCCAGCCCCGCCCACCGCCGACCTTCCTCCATCCAGAACAGGCTCTACGGCGTTTGACACGACGCACTGTTACTACGTGTGCAATGCTACCTTCACAACGTCAAAAGTTTCTAAAGTTTTAAGTGATAAGCTTTAATTTAGTTTATTGTTGACTGAGTACTAAAAATTGTTTAATATGATGAAATTTGAAACGTAATTTTACGGGGTACAGCTAACTTGGAACTGACAGAAGACTGCTGTCAATCAAATTCATCAAGCTGAGAAATCTGAGACTTTGATCCTATTCACAGTGTCATTTGCCAAAAAATAAGGCAATAAGCATACTATGAAGCGCTATATTCATACTATTACATAATATATTAAAGTGGATAAATTTTAGTTTACAATATAAGGAAAACAGTATCATAATCTACATAAGAAGACCCATGAAATTGCCCAATAATGTAGTAATCCTTAAGTACCTCGATGAAATTTCATAATCGTTCGTACAACCGTTTACAGTTTTCATCAAAGGATATTACTAAGAACGAAGACGTTATGTAGCAAGTTTTGTAAAAAAAAAAATAATAAAAAAAATGAGTTAAGAACTTCTCGTAACATAGGCTACCGCATGAAATTAAGTTAAATGAATGAATGAAGCAGAACGTGGAAAAAAGCAATGCTACCAAAGGATTAAATAGGCGCGGTTGAGGGGATGGATATAGATCTATTAGTACCATTATACCAGTACACTTGGACTTCGCACCAGTTCCAGGCATGTGACATTGTGCGCATTTCTAGGATCTGTGAATGAAGCGAATCTTTCAAAATAATAACACCTAACCCAATAAGAACTGGTCCAAAAGCAGGAAGGCATGGCAGGGGACGGAGAAGCTGTAGCAGACGCTCACCTTTCGCGTTACTTTTGCAGTCTCCCCCGGTGAGCTTTACAGTCGCCTGCCCGTCACCTGTCTCCTTACACGCTGCTGGCTCGGCGCGCTAGCCGTGCAAAGTTCAGCCCTTTTCCTATTTCGTATCCCTCCTCTCGCAACACTCCCCTACCGCTCAACATCTTTTCTCTACCTCTCTTTCCCAACGCAAATAGTTTTGCATAAACGGCTTAATGCAGCGTGCGATGCATATACACATCGGGAGCGCGCCGTCCGCGTCGCTTCAGCCTTTTCCGAAGCTGCGTGCTGCAGCGCTGCACTACTGTGTGAGAAATTTCTGCAGTTCGGTTAGGCTGCGTCTTCCTCTTTCGTCCTCTGGCACGTGTGGTTAACCTCACCCCACTATTAGAATGCACAGCCAAATGAGGAACGTGAAACAGACTTATATCAAGCGTCCTACCAAAGCTTACGGAACAATACACACGAAACATCTTACAAATAACACTCTAATTTTTCGTCTTTTTGATAAACAGTAGCCTATAGGTACACATTGTTTTAAGTTACAGTAAGCCCCTAAAACACACATACACATTCTGACACATATCCATCTCTGAGAATAAGGATGCGTTATGAAGATGCATAAGTACTTATGATGCATAATTCACTACTGCATACGTAGTGAATTAACCTCTATCCTGCCTGCTGCCTGCTTACAGTCTCGACTGTCATTTCTGTCTCGCGATGTGAGTTTTTAGTTTATGAACAATACAAAAAGCAATACAGACCAAGCGACTCCAGGGATACACGTACTCTTTCACCAGTGCGGCCGAAACCGTTGTTGGACATTTCAAATTGCGGATGCAGTACAAAAATGGGATGTGACATCTCATTTGAAATAAGCTGAGTGACAGATGCCGTGATTTGTGCATATTGACGGCATCCAGTCTGTAAATTTCATATAAAATGACCATACCACATCTGGTCTATAGTTATCAGTTTATTAACAGTTTTTAACTGCGTTACATGCATACCACCATCTGGCTAGATGAGGTACTGCACAAAACAAAAAAGTCAATAATATCGTCACCTTATAACCCCCATAAAAGAGAAATTATATTAAAATAATTATTTGTAACACTTAAAACTTGTCAGAAATTATGAATAAGAACTATGGGAAATATGAAATGAAAACCCTGTTTTATTGTCATGTTATATTTACAGAATCCCTATGTTGATTTTTTTAAGCCAGAAAATTAATTTACAAGTTGCATTTGGCTAATTAAAATGAAATAATTATTGCAACATTTCCCAAAAAGCTCTCTTTTTATATATAAAAAACCCCTCTATGTTTAAGCATAGGCTGCTCAGTCTGTAAATAACAAACATAATATGAAAAGTAGAGGTGTGGGAAAAGTAGGAACGGGACACAGAGAAAACCAAACTGCAGAGAGTAACCGACGGCAAAATGGCATCACGACTGACGATCCGTCTTCTCAGCAGTCCTGTTTGACTGGCTACTCTGACTTGTTGGAGGCGGGCTTCTCCTCAGCTGCAGCGCTCTGATTGGCTGTTTTGGCTTTATCCTTTTTATCTTTGCTGTCAATCAGGGCATGTTCTTGTCTCACCAACTCCTCCAACTCAGCCTTTAAGACAGAAGCATAGAGTCATTACACTCTGGGTGAAGCAAGAGGAGACGTGGGTGTCGATTCCAACCTAAATATCATCGTGTGAACTCAAAGAGAGATCAATGTTTTTCTTGGAATTAGTGTGAAAATTATCCAGTTCTTGTGTCTGTGTCTGAGCAATTCGAATTCACCCTTACCTTCCAACCAAGCAAGTCAGCAAGTGCCATACAGCCATCGTCACAAGTGCTCAGGTACACCACGTCCCTAAGACCAGTACGTAGCCAGTGTGAGAATACACACACATGCAATGACAGTCATTACACCAAAGGCGTTATTTCGTTTTATACCACTGCTTTGATAAATACTATTTACTATTTCTGTCACATGGGTGGGTATTTTTTGTGTAACCACACCGGTAGTTTTGGCAGCCTAGTAATAGTTCTATATTAATGTGCACTATTTTCACTAGTGGTACATATTTATTAAACATGTTAATATAAAACGTGTGACTTTTTACTCATAAATAAGCAGCCATTCTTATCAGCATGATTTTACTTGTCCAGCTTCAGATGCTCCAAGAGGCTGTCTGTTGACGGTTTCTATGGTAACTGAACTGCCTTGCCGCTTCCAATGAGTAGCTGGACCAGAGGATAGATTTATTCCTATAGCGACTATATTTTTAGGAGCACAATGGAACATTATTGGATGCTAAATTAAAAAATCAACTTGAGTAGTTTATTCTGTTACTATTTTTTGTTTGTGCCATGGGGATGAACCACTTCACGTTCTGCGTTGAACCGCATCACACCAGCATGATTACTGGTTATTTCCGTGTAGCCTAACACCTTTCTGTGGTTTATCCCTCACCTCATTATATTTTAAGATCTATTTGCTGCAAAACCGAATGCAGTCTCCAGAAACACACGCTCTGATTCTATTAATTGCCCGAATCACAGACCAACAACAAACAACCCAACAATCTCTGCAGGTTCCGCAGGCCGTAAATCTCTCCAGACTGGTAAAACACCGCTTTGCTACATAAATGAAGAAGAAGTCGATTTATTTTAAGACGGACACCAAGCATGTGGACTGGTAAGCTCTGTTATTGCTGAACAAATATATTTAGAATTAGGTGATCAGTGGTCATTGTTGACACACCACAGCACACAACAACGAAATGTGTCCTCTGCATTTAACCCATATGTGACTTTCCGTGACATAGCAGGGGGCAGCTAATTCAGCGCCCGGGGAGCAGTGCTTGGGGGCGGTACCTTGCTCAGAGTACCTCAGTGGTGCCTTGCTGGTCGGGGATTCGAACCTGCAATCTTTCAATTACAAGTGCACTTCCCTGACCATTAAGCCACCATTGCCCACATATATATGCTTTGATAACTGAGGATACGGCCTCACCTGTACGCTTTATCGGAGTCAAAGTCCATGCCTCCCCCAAAGCCAAGCATCCCCATGAGTGCGTCAGACTGCCAGAGAGAGGGGGGGGGGGCGGTCAGTCAGACAAAGCACTGATGTCTCTGATGTCAATAATTTATTACAGTTTATTATATTAAAATGTGAAGTGAAGAATCCGGACCTGCCCTGTCTTCTCCATGTTAATGAGCAGCCTGGGAGTGTCTTTGGGGACTCTGTAAGCAGAGGTGCAAGGTGAGGCGGTCGACCGAATACGGAACATACACGCTGAAACAGCATCGCCGTTATTATAGACAGCGAGATAAAACACGTGGATCCCGAAAGATGGAAACACTAACTCACTAAGACTGGTCACCAAGATGAAGAAGAGGACTCACTTGCTGACCAGGGAGGCGAAGGGCTGAACCTGCAGCGAGGTTCCCATGATGATGAGGAGGTCACAACGTGGGAAATCCTTAGACGGTGAAAAAGGGGGAGACTGTCACTTCATAGGGATGGACAGAAAGAGGAGAAATGCAGACCTGCATACATTAATTTATGGATTCATAACAATTCTATATGCAGTTTGAAAACTGACCCCCCCCCCTTACCATCTTCATTGTAGTGAAAAATCGGGCAGGCAGATTCTCGCCAAAAAACACAATGTCTGTCAAAGGACAAATAAAATGAAAGAGCAAAGGGACAGATGAGTTAACAGCATCGCTAAAACCAAGCCGACAGACTCAGCTAATAACTGCCTTCATGAAACCAATTGTTGGTTCACGCCTTTGTTCTCCGAATGGCAGTTGTTTTACTAAAATAAGTAACAGACTTGTTATGCTGAAGATGCTTTTATACAAAGTGAGATAAAGACAGAAGAAAGCTAAGGGTTAGAGAAGAGAGGCCGTCAGGATCCAGCGGGTCCTACAGAAACTGTGGCTCACACTGGCTACGTTTTTGGTACAGTTAAGGGCCTTTACTCAAAGACCCAGTAGTGACATGATTACTCTGCTAGACACAGAATTTGAACACACATCTCCCACATGCTCAGCCAAATTCCAGGGGTCTTGTACTCTTAGGTTTGCCCCGTTGCTTCATGTGACAAGGATCCAATTGACTATTGTAAGGAAAAGTGTTCATGGACAGCAAAGGAGCTCCTGTGACATCTGAAGATGGACACCAGAAGACACTGAAACCCCCTTCAGATGCTAAATCTATGCAAGATACAAGATCCCTTCTAACTTGCATCAAGCCTTATACATCAGTCAGATGTATTGTGAATGACTAACTGTTCATTCATGTCCGCAAAGAGACGTCTGAAATATACCACGCCTTTGCTGAACTCCGATTAACCTTAAAATCTAACATGCTGGTAAATGGAATATATTGGGACTGGAAAAAAAAAGCTATTTTGAGGTTGGACTCACCAGGCTTGACCAAGTCGTTGCACTTCTCACACTTGGGCACTTGCTCTGAGAAGATCTTTTCTGCAGACCACAAGTTATCAAAATGGACAGGGTGAACATACAAAGACTTTTATAATCCTAAATTTTGCATCTGATTCAAAATGCTTCTCACCACTAAAGGCCTTTAACAGTTTTTCTCCCCATATCTGTCTGATCTTCTCCTGCCCAACCAGCCCCCTCATTCTCATAGATCTTCCTTTTCTGGCCTCCTCCCCATTCCTCCTTGCAAACTCTCCAGCTTTGGTCACTGAGCCTTCTCTAGCATGGCTCCTCATCTTTACAATTTCCTTCCTTCTAACACTGGTAACTCAACCTCCCTCCCAGGCTTCAAATCTCATCTTAAAAACATTTTTCCCTCCTAAAACTTTCTAGCTCCCTCCACTCTGTCTGTGTGTGTGTTTTTTTTAATATTGTTAGTTTCTTTGGTTTTCGAAAAGCACTGTATACATCTAATTATTAATACAACCCAATCTAAATAAAAGTAGGACAACCACATAATCTCATTTACCAAAAAAAACACAATGACATTTAGTACATACACAGTTTACCATAAATGCTAATGAACATATTCAAATACAGTAAAACCTCAGATTGCGAGTAACTTGGTTTGCAAGATGAGCAAAAATTTTTCTTAAGTTTTAACTTGATAAACGAGTGAGGTCTTGTAATACGAGTATTATGTATACGCTTTGTCTGCCAAGCGTCACATGATCACAACTGAGCTGATGGTTCCTCTCTCTCTCCTGCTGCAGCATTGTGGGTAACCGTCTCCCATGCTCGGTCTCAGTCGGCGTGCCTCACTCGTATAGCCAAAACTTAGAAAAGCACCACCCAAATTTTGGTGTAACAGTGCGAGCGATGAATCTGTTTAATGACAATGCAATGTCCACATTTCCATGAAATCGAAAAGGAGGCAAAAGCAGCTGTCACTGGATAGGTTCCTTGTTAAAGTCGCACAAAAAGAAGAAGATTCCAGTGAGCCAACAGATAGCAGTGATTCCATTATAGTGAAAGTTGTCCTACAAAATAACCCTCCTCTTCTCCTCTCTCGTCTCCCTCACACCATCCACGATTCTTTTCAAAGGTAAAGTGCAGGCTAATTTGTTTTATGTATTTTTACTTTATATTTTGTATTAATCGTTTTTATATGAATATTTTTGGGTTGTGGAACGAATCATCCGAATTTCATTTATTTATAATGGGAAAATTTGCTTTGACAGACGAGTGCTTTGGATTGCAAGCACGTTTCCGGAACGAATTATGCTCCCAATTCGAGGTTTTACTGTACATACACTTGTTTCAGTAATTCTGGTATTAGAAAACATGCCACTAATTCAATAACCTTGCGTGAGCTCATTTTCTGGCTCTCACCTTTCATCCAGTCCAGGGTATACTCCTTACGGCACAGAAAGCTCACACAGTGGGAGGTATAGAAGGTCCCATGGGCTTCAACCAGGTCCTCCTCTTGTAGTCCCGCTGCACGCTCCAGGGTGTCAATGTTCTTCCTCACCAATCAGAGCACAGATTGACTTCTCAGTGGCAACATGACAGACTGACTAGCTCACCATCTTAAGCACACTTACAGTTAAACAAGGCCTTTGCGAAACTTGGGACTTATGGTCTGGTCAACAGTGATAAAGTGACCAGCAAACTGACAATGTGAGGTGCTTATAAAAGAGACAAGCTTGCTGACCTGGGAGTAGCAGCGTCTGAGAAGACCTTTGTCCTTAAGCATCCTGATGAAGTAATGACAGACTGTAGGCTGTAATATATAAGCAAAGCTCAATACTTTGTGCACAGAAGCCTTCCACACAGGACTATCATGCAACAGTCCACATGCATCAGTAAAGTCTCTGGGACAAGCAGACAAAACACTCAATAACCAGAGTGAACCTGTAAGGGAACCTTGCCTACCTTGAACTGCCCAGGATACAGCTCCTTGGCCAAGGCAAAGAATGGCTCTGGGTGTTTCTGAGTAATAAGGGGGGGAAGGATTTCACAAGGGGAACGAAGACATGCGCGTGGATGGTACCATTTTAAGACCTGCACAGGTGGACTCGACCATCAGTGTGATACCTTGAAGTAGTCGATCTGGAATATGGCTTGGGGATAAGGCAGGTTGTACTTCTGCAGGTTGGCATAAAGGCCTGTCTCAGGAGAGCGGAAATCAGGGATTCCCGCAGCTAGGAGGAGGAAGGATTCTGCAATCAGCCCATTAATGTTTCAGATCAATGATGCAAAATGGTTAAAAACGATAAAGAGAAATATCACAAAATTCATACTATTTCCTTTATTGCAAGGAATTGGACAGGAAGGAGCCTTACATGTCGATATTCCTGCGCCAACCATGCAGATTATGTCTTTGCCTGCAGGAGAACAAGAGGAATAGCGTAAGAAAGCCCTTGAGAGCTATACATTTAAAGTGTAGTTCTATTCAATGTCATGTCTATTTAAAAAAGAACTATCAAAATTTTAACCACAGGTTGTATAATTTAACAACTTAATGAAATTACACAGCAAAACTGGCAATTTGATATATTTATCTACTAGCAATACGTCAGATTTTTTATGAAATTAAATTAATTTCTGTAGTTGCAAAAGAAAGCTTGCCTAAAATAAATAAAAAACTAAAATCTAAAGTGTTGTATATTGCTGGAAATTACAGCACCGCAACAGCATGCGAAGTCAAAGACAAACAAATATAAAAACATACAAAAGGTGAATGTACATTTTTGGCATTGTGGTGCAGCGATACTTACATTTACCGCTCTGGATGTAGCGGGCCACCCCATCTAGGGTCAGCTCATCCAGAACCTTTTCTCCAGTACCAAGACCCAGAGTCCGGGAGAAAAGACTACGTAGAAAGTCCACTGCCACATACAACACCACAGACACACCAGGAAAAAAGAAGAGAAAGACAAAAGATGCAATAAGTTCCTTCTTGTCATTTTTTCTAATACACCACAGCGCCCCCCGTTGGTGTCTTACTCTCTGCGTCCCCAGAAATGTCGTCTTCGCTGCTATCCGAAGGCTCTTCCTAAGAACGAAAAATCAACAAGTTTAACGAAACAATCGCGCTTATGTAGCCTTTTCATCCAATTCTATTACGATAATAATTATATATGTAACACTAACATAATTTCCTCCAAATACAGACTTCATTACATCATTAACAGCACATAAATATGACAAGTCGGTTTCTAAATAGTTTGTCATTCACCTGTAGATCAGGGGAACTCGCCTCCTTTTCTTCAGAAGATCCTGAAACAAATGCATTTATATCACCCTGCTGACATTATATTGCAATCAGCTAAGAAAACTCACTATGCACCCTATTACCCACTTTGCAAACCGCTTGTTTACGTTATAAACCCCCGAAGCCTAGCTGAATCGAGTATGAAAAACGTTACTTATGAAATCCAATTTTTACTTAGTTCTGCATTACGTGCAAAACAGCCCAAGTACAGCTAGCTGAGCCAACAAGCTAATGGTGGCTAACAGCAAAACAACGCAGGGCCGAGCGGGGCTTGCCAGTTAAACATTACCTGGTGCATCAGACATCTATTCGTCTATTTTTTAACTACAGCACAAAGCACGACGTTAGCCCACCCAGTGTGTCACTGGGATTTACAAGCAAACGACCCCGTTTGCTGTCGGTGTTCTGATGAGTTGAGCTACCTATCGAGACGTACTATCGAGCCTTTCTGCGCATGTGCAGTTCCACCGTTTTGGGATTAGGGTAGGTTTTAGGGGTTATGGTTAGGGTTAAAGCTATGGATTAGCACTACAGTAGCCTAACTCGACAAAGTAGCTCAACTCGACAGAACACCGTCCGTCTGCGATCACGCTCCGGAGGGAATCGCGGGCGCCGATCACGCGCTTCGGAGGTCTTACGGCAATAAGAGCAAAATTATAAGACGGAAAAATACAACTTCGGTCAACTGACTGGGCTGAGATTTTCAACTAGGGACAAGTCTGCACACACATGCACACGCATCTATATGCATGTAACAGTTTTATTACCTTGAAAATAGTATGTAGGGTTTACGAACTACCCCAACGCTTTTGATGCAGCAAATTTTAGGTTTATAATGGAATAATATAGATTCCTAAAGCGCCGCATGCGTGAGAGCAACCCTGCAAATATACTATCTACCTTAAAAGTCTAGAAAACGTTATCAGTGTTAAAATTCTTTGCATACAGAAAGTGTGAAATTGCTAAGTTATTAGTTATATCGTTTTGTACTTTTCTTGTCACATAATAGGTATAACAGGCACAAAATATTTAATGTTAAAAAGCATTGAAAAATGCTAATACAATGGACTGTTTTCCCCACAAGAAACAATGGAAATATCCATAATGTGTTCCGAACCTCCCAAAGCATGCCTTACCTAACCTTTTCATAATACTGTACAAAGGGGTTGTATAACAGGTCTACAAAAAATTTCAGGTGTCAAGGTTGAATGGTTTTAGGGTAATTTGAGGGTGCTGAATTCAAAAATCACATTACTTTTGCTGAATTGATTCTAGTTTTTGAGATAATGGACATCCATGAAAATAATGCATTCCCCGAATGCGACTTGTGTGTGATGACAAATGCAATAGCTTTTTGTCTGTCTTTTGACTCTTTAACAGTGTCTTAGGTAATGAAATGAATGATGAAGCGTTGAAGGAGAGTTAAGTTCACATGTGCGTGTTTGCATGTTCATTTATTGCTGTTGTTACTGTGGTGGTGAACATTTACCCAGATCAAATCTGCCAAGTCCTTCCAAAGGAAGGGCATCATGGGAACACCTGTCTGGTATTTAGCCAGAAATGGTTGAAATGCTCGTGATAGGGCCATGAAAAAATTTAGTTTGGCCAGAAGAAGGGTATCCATTTAGGCTTCACAAATGCAGTTAAAATAAGATGTCCTTGGGTTTTTCACCTTTTTTGACCAGATCCACATATTTCACTAGAGGGTCAGACTTCCAATGTTCTTTCAACAGCTGGCAAATTTTCGAGCCCCCGATGGTCACAGAAAAGTAGAGGGAATCATGAGGATGATCTTGCAGCTGTGAAGTCCTCCCTTCTGGCTGGTGCAGAGTGGAAAAGAAAATGTAGTGCTTTGAGCACTTTCTCCACCATCCACACTTCAAAACCTTGAATGAGTTGTGAAGGGTATGTAGGCCACAACTTTCTACAATGACTGTGTTCCAGCAAATTGCTCACCACAGTGTGAATGTCATCATTGGATGTATAGGAGTGATGTTGGCTAACCGTTTGCAAAGCCCATAGCACTTCTGCTTTCAGTGTGTCGGTTGAGGAGAATGTACTGAAGACGTTGCTTGTCATGGGATCCGGAGACACTGCCAAAGCAGGTGTAGGCCCATCTGTAGAGGTTGTATTTGCAGGACTGGCAAACAACTGAATGGGGACAGTTGTTGTCTGACTATCGACAAAACGCTTGTAAAGTCGATGGCTTTAGAGCCCATTGTTGCCAGTTTGACGACTTTTTTACAAGGGTGGCATCATGCTTCATAGACTCGATTCTCTTTTCTTTCCAACAAACAGATAAACATACAAAATACTTTAAGCTATTGAAACAGTTTTTTCTAAATATTGATTACCTAAGTGGCAGTGTGGTTAGTAATCATTGGACGAAAACTTAATTCACTTAATAGACAAAATATTTGGTAGAGAAAAAAATTATAGCACTTTTTACATTAAACATTTTTCTGGTATTTGGACTTAGTTCCACATTTCAATGAAACATAAAACTAATTGTTCAATAGCAGAATTTCATGTGAAATATTGTGTTGTGCATACATATCTTTACCCCCCAAATACTCAGTAACATTTTAAAACAACCAACAGGTAACACTGGAACAAACCAAAAATAAAAATATTGTTTGTATATTTCTGTCATCGATGCAAAAACAAAACAAAATTACAACAAAAAAACTGAAAGATTACCTAATTGCATAAATAAAATAAAAGTTATATACATCATTAATAATTACTACAATGATTTCCATTTTTCGGCACACCTCAGAATATTGCTCATAACAGAACTGATGTATGGGAGGTAAATGCACAATTTGTTGCGCTGACAACACTCAGCTGTTTTAACCACACAGTTGGTTATAACAAGTTTAAATAATTGAACGGCAGAAGTTTTGTAACCGGAAATGTGATTCAAATTTAGCAGCAGTTCACTATGCTGTAAAAATAACCATGCCCATATGACAGACAAGTTGTTTCTGGAAACATCTTATAAGGAATATCAGTTCACATTTTGACAATCAGAGGGCTGACATCCTTACTGGAGTCTGGCCTAAGAACAGGTAGTAGCATATAACATGAGGCTAAACTGACTGATTCAGTAAATATTACAGCATGTTTGTGTTCATCTGTGTGTACAGTACCATTGTTCTGCTCATTGGTCTATGAAAGCTCTCCAGTCTACAGGCCACTTGTTGCCTTGATGTCAGTCTCTGCCCCGCTGGACTGCAGACCCTCCTGGTACTCAACTCCCATGATGTGACAGTGAGGGAGAACCTCTTCCAGCAAGATACGCACCAGCCCTGGGTTCTGCACGCGCGGGAGGGACGACAGGTCGAGTTTCCGCAGTTTCCTGCAACATAAGGAGCAGCGGGACTGAGACATAAAAAAAAGCATCCATCGTTCAAGGGAATCCTAATAGATAATTACAGTCCTAAAATAAAGCTTAATATCAAATAATACATCTTGAAGTACCAAAAAAAACCTTTAAATATCGACCAATCTTGTTAAATGCTAACCAGTAATGCATGTTTAAAAACACGGTAAGAAAACCACTGCTCATGTTACCCACTGATGGAAGGTTGCAGGTTTGTCTGCAGAAATCAGGGGTACCTCAGATGATGTAAGGCGGAAAGACCCCCAACAGACACACGAGAGCAGCCAGACAGGTCGAGCTCCTCTAAGCTGTCCTTGAATATGTGCAATCGGGACAGGAACCAGTCGTCCACTTCAGGGCACCCACGCAGTGAGAGACAACGCAGCTTCTGTTGACTCACTGCAGGGTAGGAGGAACATGCATTAATTATCCCAAATAAACAATTACTCTGATTTTTTTTTGTGCTCACAGTGTGTGCATTTTATCCTGTATTTCTTGCACAATATGCACAGGACATTAAGAAAATGAATGCCAACAGATGGTCTGTAGATGATTTGTAAGAGAAATAAAATATATTAACACACATTATTACAATTCTTCCACAGATTTGGCTGCTCCTGTACTGCATACTTTACTGTGCAAGCATTTCTGTATCTGATTAACATGACTGTCCATCTCATACAAAACCCTCTGCACCTTGTCTACAAATGTCTAATAAGCTGTGGGGAGCTTATTCTGGCAGCCAGAAGATACTTATCTTGCATACCCAAGTAGACGAATATTATTTTTACATTTGTAACTGAGCGTTCAACCTAACTGAACTACCTAGCTGACTCTGCGAAAGCTGTAGATTTGTAATGTGCTCTTTGCCTCACTTGTACGTCATTTTGGACGCAAGCGTTTGTTTAATAAAGGTGATGTAAATATACCCAGGTTGTTAAGTCCCATGTAGTTAATTACTGTTCCACTGGCATCCACCTCCTCGATGGAGAGGTCTGAGAAATTGATGAAATCCAAGCTGAACTTTCCCTTTGCATTTGGTCTGACCCAATCCGACTGACCCGCCAACCTGGGGGGGCAGACAAAAGGACAGAACAACAGATTGAATGAAAACAGGCAGTGGCAGGCTGGCACGCATACATAGGGCGTGATAATGCCCTGTATCGGCTTCCCAGCCATTGTTAAAGTCGTGGACAGGTAAAGTGGTGCTGTAGCCGTTTTTAGTGCACTTCCAATCCAAAAAAAATTAAGAAATTATTTCTTTAATTCCAAGAAGAAAACATTTACAAAACATTCTTGAGAATAACGTATGCGAACGAAAAAATACTTAAGAAAAAAAAACTGTTTCCCCCCTTAAGCTTTTCCCAACCAACATGACTCTTTCTCCTTTCATCTAACACACGACACCTTTACAGTGACTTGTGCATTACGTTTGTTCACAACCATAGACAATAAAATATTATATGAAGCATATATAGGATTAATATAAAATATAATAGAACTTATACGAAACAAATATAGAATTAAATATTAACATACATATTAATGCATAATAACAAAAATTCATGTTATTGCTGCAATATTCCGGCCTCTAATTGTTGTGGAATTCTGTAGCCATAACAATTTAACACATACTCCGATAACAAAACCTGACCTTAAGTTATTTCTAAGCCTCACCTGAATCCTCCCTTCAGGTTCAGGATGTAAAATGCTGCTGCCACATTGCTCCCAAACTGCTTCTGAGCATAACTGTAGTAACTGAGCAAGAAACAAATGCATTTGACATTAAAACGCATGTGTGTGTTTTTGAAACGAATCAAAAATGTTTGTCGTTGTTCCATTGCCGGTGCACGTACACATTCTTCCGCTGCCGAGTCCAGTTCCCTAGCCAGGAGCTCCAGCTGACAATCGCCTCGATGTCGTGGAAATGCTGGACCAGGAAGAGGAGCATCCGGGAGCGCAGGGGCAGCGGGCTTGGTGGGGAGCTCACTGAGCTCCAGGAGCGCCTGGCAATAGACAGACATGTCCATCCCAGACCTACTGGCCACATCTACAACCGTAGAACAGGAAACCAAAAACAGTGGAGACAATGGAGAAAGAGGGAACATTTCGCTTCAAGTTACCAACAATTTTCACTGATCCACTAAGATTTTAATATAAAAGACTTCTCAATATTCAATAATGCCATTAAATAAACACAGAACTGCAAAACTGTGTTCTTATTCCTGTCAATTTTGTGGAAGCAGACCATTATACGATGTAAAGACCACCATATTTCGTATCCATATACCTGATAGCACAACTATTTTGTTGTTTGCTGTGATCCTATTGATGAATGTGACGGCCAACGCTTGTTTGCAGCCATACCGATCTGTGGCACCTTATCATGTACTTATAACAAAGTAGTGGCTATTGCCTTACATGAGAAATAAGACATTTTATTAAATACTAATCTGATGTGCACATAATAAATCGATTTTAGCTAACCTTTATACACCGATTAAGGGCAGTTGGATAAAGTACCGAGGTATTCTTTCAAGAAGTTTAAAAACGTAATAGAACTAATATATGAAGGATAAACTTACCCGCATAGTAGGAACCATCTTTTCGTAAGGACATGACCCCTACAGCAAGATATGTAGGACAAACTTTGCGTTTCCTCAAAAGTCGTTTTGATTTTAGTCAAACGAGACTATATATACTGCCACCTAATGGACAAATGGTTCACTTTTCTTATACAATTCGAGATGAAAAATCATACGCCTTTTGGCTTTCTCGGTTACAGACAGATAAGACAAAAAATGCACATAGATTCTGCAATCAAACCTGCATTTGCACTTTTACTTTTACCTGAAAATTTATGATTTTGAATGCTACAGAATGATGTGAAGAGGCTAAAACTCATGTGACGTACAAAATATTCTGCATATATAACTGGGGCGTGTTTTTCTCATGCATCAGTTTTAGCTTTTGATGGGTCACGAAAAATCAAGCAGGAATAATCAAGGAGGCAAACTTTAACGGTTAATATGGAAGCATCTTCCCTTCTATTTCATGAAACATACTTCTTTAACAGGCTCACCTGTAGTACAACGCAGATTTTCAGTCCCGTTTAGTATTTAGTACGCACTTTTGGTATTTTTTTTCTTAGAAGAAAATATTTATTTTAAGTATCAGTAATATATGATCCTAACTGGCTAGATCAATGAAACTTTTGTTTGCACATTTAAATCACAGTTATGGTGTTTAGCCCTGCTTTTTGTGAAATCATTCATCTGGTGCGTTTGTTTTCTATGTTACGGTTTCACCATTTGTGTTGTGTTTGAAATGAGAGACTGAAAATGGCATTCAAAAAAAACCTTTAAAGGTGTTCTCTACAGTAAATGTTATCTTCTTTAAAAGGAAAGAGTTGTATTGTATTGGATCAGATTAAATTAACTTCATTATTCCCTGGCAAAATTCTTGCAAATTCCTAGTGGGATGTTACATTGCAAATAGAATATTGTAGCTTTAGGTTAATTGGGCTGCTATGTGGGTTCTTGATACAAATAAAAGCAGAGACAAATGTTAAGGAATATATAGCACCTTTATTAAAATGTCTATAAAAATATTGTAACACTTCACAATGTTTACATATGAAACATACAGGAAAGATATTACAGCCGTCTGAACCATTAAAAAACAAAAACACTGATGCTGAATGTTGGTCACAAGTATAAATTACAAACCCAATATGAACCCAAACGTGGCTTTCATATTGATTTTTTCTTTAGCGAGGCTAAAGGTACTAGAATGTCTAACTTGTTACCCACCTAATGTACAAAAATATACATTGAGGTCATTAAGGATCAAACACAGACACTTGATCTAAAGCTTCTGAATATAACAGCAGCAAGTAGCTGTGAATTCACAGGTGAAAAGACTCCAGGAATGATGGTGATGGTGAAGCTTGCCGCGTCTGGAAATAAACTTGGACCTGGACAGAGAATCTCTCTTCGGTGATTTAGCAAAAATCTACTATGTGTCCCTCACAACACGATTCTGATTTTGGGTGGTAGGTCCTTAAGTGCCATTGCTCCCAAACTCCAGCATTCTCTTTATCAGTCTCTCCATGACTGCTCTTCATTCTCTGCTTTTAAATTTGACTTAAAACCTTCCTGTTTAAAGAACATTTCTCTTCTTCCTCAACTGCTTTGTCTTTCCCTTCCTTCTAAAGCAACCTTGGGTTTGTGAAAGGTGCTATATAAATGTAACCTATTTGTTGTCAGTTTGTTGTTGTTGTTGTCAGTTTGTTGTTGTCATTGTTGTTGTTGTTCTTCTTCTTATTATTATTATTATTACTACTATAACAACAACAACAAACCACACTTGGAACCAAAAAAACCCTGGAATAAAACACTGCAAACTATATTGACCTGAAGCAGTCCACTGGAAGCAGTTTTAACAACAGGTAAGGCGTAAGGTTGTCCTTGTCTTGCTTTCCTGATTCTCCACAGTTGTTGCTGCGCCATCAATAATGGTGTACCTTTATCTGATTATTTTCATCCAGGCTGAGCTGGACCAGCCTGGTTGCAGAGGCGGGGTTTCGGTAACTTGTCAGCAGGGGCCTGTTCAGAGCGTGCGTTAAGGGAGACCCCAAGCTGGGATGGCTGCAGTTTAGGTATAGCAGTATAAATGCTTTCATGCTAGCATTGACAGCTGACTGAATTGGCTTGCGTTAAAAATGTAAAAACATGACAGTCGGCATGCTTTTCAGAACGTTAAATAACTACCGGTACTTCTTCAGCCTGGCTTATACACCAATGAAAACTGTACTGTTTCCGGAGACGATCGTTTGGCCTGATGAATCTGAACTTGAAATTATTAAAATAATGCAATAAATGGTTTGCCAACGCATACAGAGGACATCACTTTCAAATATATACCCCTTTAGGTCACCTGGTCAGAGAAAGTACCAGTGCATCAATGCATATAATAATGTGTAGGTTCAATGAGATAATGCTCACAGCTGCAATAAGCAGAACGTAGGGCTGCCACTGGCTCTACTGGGAGCGTCATTAAGGATACATGCTGGAGTTCTTCCTGCAAGTCTCCAGCCACTTCTTGTTCTTGTCAATGAGGTTCTGCAGTCGCTGTCCATCCAGCTCGGCTGAGGTGAACTGCACTGGACGCACACTGGCAAACCCACATGTACACGTACACGGATGCAGAGAAATAACACCATCACTGCCCGCAATAAACAGGCAACAGCATAATCACACTGCATTCCCAAACGTTCTGCTTCTGCACAGAGAGAACTCTGAAAGAACAAAACATTTGTTGTGGTCCTGTTACCTGGCTGGCGTGTACTTTGAGTACGTGGGGCGACTTGCCAAAGGAGTCCCTGAAAGAGGGGGACCTGAGTTCATGGTTTCCCCTGCGAAACAGAAAGTGTGCAATGACAAGGTGAAACAGCATCCCCTACTGGACACCCAGTTTGACTCTATCCTGGGGCCTGTTTCACAAAGCAGGATTACTTGCTTAGCCAGATAATTTGCCAGATTTAAGGTAGTCTTGGCTAAATAGACTCACCCGGAAGGAGCTTGTTCCAGCGGCTGCTGAGCGTACTGTCCGCACCCCAGGCTGGGGTACTGGTGGCAGAGACGCCCCAGGCCCAGCTGGGGGCTTTAGATATCGAAGGGGGGGTGTAACAGAGCTGCGTAGGGGGCAATAGGGGCATCTGTTTTTGGGCCAAAGAGCCCAAGGCCCCTAGCACATTGTTGAGCTGATCTGACATTTGCTGTAGGGATTCAACAAGAAGTTGCACTTTGGCTGGTCCTGTGCGGTGGGGGCCTGGGAGCAGAAAGCAGCATAGAGAGAGAGATACAGATTACAGCATGGCACTTAATAAGTGCATGTTTTACGCTCATAACACAGAGAGGACTATCCAACCTCATAGCCTTTTATATTTCCTGACATTCTCAAGTGTCATCCTACAGACGGTGTGGGTCACCTGAGCCATTGTGGGCCTCCAAGCTGCTCAAGTCCGATTCGCTGACATCGAAGGTCACTCTCCTGTCTGCTGCCGTCCTCTCCATGTCGTCGTCAGAGAGCTGTTGAGACATTGTTAAAGTGGAAATGCTATAGATTCACAGAGGTCATGCGTCACCACTTGCTGGTCAGTGGTCAGAGCGCAGTCCACGCCTGGTGGTAACACAATGCCCCATTGATGAACATCGAGAGAAGTTCTCAGGCTGAAAGAGGAGGCCTTCAGGGCAATGGTCATAATAGGGTCTTTGGAGTCACCTGAAAGGTACTGACAGCCAAGAACAGCTGCAGTGACGGTAGGCAGAGGCAGAAACCTGTGCACTGGAAGAGGTTTGGACAGGGCAAATTGTCGTGGTTGGTCCCAAAGAATCTGGAAAACTGTTAAAAGCCTCAAGAAGGGGAGGCAGGGCCCAGCTCTGTGGGGACAGGCTGCTAACAATGAGGAATACTACTAAAAGGTGGAAGGAACATGCCCTGCCACCAGGAGGCAGTGTTGGAAGCTGCTCATGGACTGGAGATGATAATGCCACAAGCCTCTGTGTTGGAAAAGCTGCATGGAAAAATTAAATTTGTTGAAGGCAACTGGTGCTGTTGGGGCGATGTGGTGGATACACCTCTTCAGTGTTGCATGTCTCAGCCTTCCCCCATATCAGGGCACTACAAGGGAAACCTGCTTCGTGGCTGAATCTAAAATTTAGGAGAAACAATATCGATTCCAGCTGGACCATGGGACGGAGAACTGAGTCCACCTGCCTTCCATGGGTATGTGAGTGTTTGTGAGGATATGGGAATGCTATCTACATGTGCATCAAGGACTTGGAGAAGGACCTGGTGCATACTGTGGGACGTGCCAGAAGAATATGAGGTACCGGGGGTAAAACTGCCTGCTATTCAGTCTCTGTATTTTATAGTGTGTTACTCAGCTTGGATGCTGTGAGACTTCAGTGGTAAGTGTTAAGGTCTGGATGGTCATTATGAAAAGGACAGGTGGGTCTCAGCACCTCCTCTGCCAGTGAACTCTCCAGCTGACTCAGCCGCTCCTCCTTCCTGCGGAGCAGAGCCTGCCCATGCTGGACTGTGGCTTTCAGCTGCTCGATGTGGATGGTCTCCTGTCACGGCAGGAGGGGAGGGGAGGAGACAATAGTGGAGAAACAGAAAGAGATGGTGAGGGAGAGAAGGCATAATGTAATGTCAAGTGGGAAAGAGAAGGAAGGAGACCGACCAGGAGATCAAGAAAAACAAATGACTTAGTGATGAAAATAACTGATGATGCAGGATGTTTTGTACTTTCACACTTTAGTTTTTGGGTTTATTCACAGAAAAATGTGGCAGTAATACAAAAGAAAAGGAAATTATCGTTACTACCATGAATGTGGGGGTGTAATAGTTTGGCACCCACCTTGATTTTGGGTTCACGGTTTGTTACAATTTCAGTACAGCAGGGAAAACAGAATGAGTTTTGAAATGTGTTATGTAATATGCAAACACAATTAAGAACAACAGTAAACCAAAGGCAGTTTGTCTGTCAAAGCGTTTGAAAAACAAATCCTAATAGATGCTTATTTGCATATTGTAAACATAAATATGTAAAATACATTAATCGAAAATATAACATCACATCATTATGTGACTA